CTGTGGATGGTGAATGATGACACAATTCACGATAAAAGGATTCAAAGATCTAGAGGAACGATGTCTGATGGACGATGACGTCATTATCATAATCACGAGGTGCAGAAGTTTAAGGTCACACTTCTTCTGGTTGGTTGTTTTTATACTCTCTCCTTCCGTAAAGCAATGTAGACGCAGAGCGCGGTAGAACAGCCACATTAATCCAATGTGTTTGGATTGTGAATCGGAAGCTGCAACTGGTCTCCACGAAGGAGGGCACATTTTCCAATCGGCTGAAGGATAGCGCCTCCCAACCACGGAGTGGCTATGACCACTAGGCAAAAATTTATAATGCATCCAGTGTGTCGTTGGTCGACCGTTTCGACGTTCATGACAGGTTTTCATAGCCTTATCCACAGTAGATAAAATGAACAAGCACCACGGGTACCTCGACCTAAAGAGCAATCCCTCACTTTCATCATTTCCTGATAGTTGTGACAAAGAGGAGCGGGCGGTTTTCAAAGGATGATTACAAGAAAGCAGAAATAACAGCCTCATGAATAGATGTTCAAGAATTTAGCAGTCTGCCTTAAAACACATTATCTGAACTTCTAAATCCGTTCAGCTGTTCTCAACTGATTTACCTATAAAAGCTCCGATCATAGCTCCGAACGGCCCGGAAAGAATTCCGCCAAGCAACACGCCGGAACCTGTCCACGCAAACTGTTTCGCGATGCCGTTGAACGACCGCCTCAGTTCACAGCTGCAGTTCATGATCTCTATAACCTTCCCGAAATAAGTAAGACTCATCTGCGCCGCAGTCGAACCGAGGCATAACATAACGACCGATCACCACTTTCAATCGATCTTCTGGCAGTTAAATTCGTTGTGACTGCCAATAAACGCGTCGTCAGTCAAACAACGGTTCTGAAAATCAATCCATCACTGAAACAGATAAGTCTCAAACCGCAAGTAAAAAGCGAATACCTTACACACAAGAAGAGAAAACAATACAGCATTGGCATAACCAAGCACCAAACATAAGGCTGAAAAATCCAAAAATAACAGGAAATTTATTTCTGCATAAACATACAAAATCGACCATAAACTTGTCATTTTCAACTTCACCCCTGCACACACATATATTAAAATCAAACAGCAGACGACCTAGTACCTGATAAAAATTAATTCCTGTACATATTATAGGGGAATAGCAAACTGTCAGCTTTGATATCGTTGGCAAGAATGGCAATTTACTGTCACATGGAGTAGTCGCAACGTCACTCTGTTCCTATTAGACTAGGGGATGTTTTAAAGCAGGTAACGGCTGTGGCATTTTAGCACCTGCAGTACAAAAGCGCATAATCGCACCATCACCATATGTATGTGTGTATCTGTGTACGTGCTAGAAAATGCTCCGGTAAATGAGCATTTTATACGACGGAAAATATAAGTAGTTTTACGATCAACCTTAGCAATGCCTGAAACCAGTGAATCAGTGAACGCGAAAGCACAGCGGCAGAGGTGGATTTTGAAACCCAGAAGTCATTATCTCCACTCCTTAGAAAAAACTAAATTTGCCTCTGTCGCTAATTAATTTGACCAAAAAATTACCTTATGATTCTACGGTACAATCAGTCGAGAAAATCGTTGACCTGAGAACACCACAACAGCATGGTGTTCTGTTGTGGTCATATAAGAATGAACGAAAGGTATGACTATGCTGTCTGAAGCGAGTGCCTCTTGCATTTGCTTTTGCATTCATCGAATAGATAGAAGCCTGCTCCATGTGTTTCATTCAGCACAACGAGTAAACCAATATAAAAGTTAGAATGAGATCGCCTTATAAGGTGCATGCGTTAAAATGAAAACGAAATTCGTCATAAGTCACTTTATTTGCCATAGTTGTCAAATAATACCGTCGACATGATGAATGTAATTCCACAACGATGTTACATTGTGTGGAATGAAACAAAAATAAAAACAAAAAATTGAAACGCTATCGGATGGCTTGTAGCTGCAGAGGATGCGGATTGTTCATACATAGTATTCTTCTTTTCGGTAAGGATCAACAACCTATAGCATAAATGAACATTAAACACGGACGAGTCCTCTGACATCCGACAAGGTTTACATTTTACATCCCCTGAACTATGCAATTTCTACTGCACTCAAGCCAAGAAAAGAAACGTTAACATGAATGACAATACCGAAGGAACCCAACTCAAGTTAGTCAGAAACTAAAAGCGAAGTATATAATTTATTGAATGCAAAAATATACAGTTCAACGTGGGATCCGTTACAAGAGTATCTGAATTTTGAGAAGCCTTCTGGTGCTTGGTGGTTAAATCCTGCATATCACCTTGGTAACGGCGAGAAATAGTGCCATTTAGTGCTCTGAACATCAAAGAAGAGACGCTTAGGCTTAGATGAAGATGAATTAAGAAACACGTTATCAGAAGTATTAAGAGCTACGCTTTAACGTATCTGTCTGATTAATAATAGAGTAAGACTCGCATCTAACCGTGGTTTCAGAAATAGCTGTACACTTGCGAGATCACCACAATTTTCTGGCTAATAATTACAAACCCGTTAAAGCGTATACTTGATAACACTGATATAGTATTCTGATTTTAATGCGTACCACCTTACTGTTAGTCCGAAAAGACACAAACACTGTCTTAATGATAAGAGATAAAGAAAGGGTTAGACGACTGGAAAAATGTGTTTGCTAAGCGAGGGTTTCGAAACCGGCAACGGTGTTCCTTCTTCAGCATGAACTAATAATGCAAAGACCAGATATCGCGATCGCGGATGACAAAGATCAGGAGATTAGTAATTAAAGTGCAGTAAACAAAGGAATAAAGGCAAGTGTTACCACTTCAGTACAACATAAGAATATACGAGTGAAAATAATAAGCATGAAGGGTGAAATGCGAAAGGTTGAGATAAACGAAAAAAAATACAAACATAACCAAATGGAGATGAGATGGTAAAAACAGAATTGTAGTGGATTAGATTTCCACTTCGAGATAAATCTTAGAAGTTTAATTCCTCATTTCTATGGGCTGCTATAAAAGCTTTAATAAGAACGAATTAGCGTATCATGAAGCCAGCAACGTTTTCTCGATCTGAAATATTATGAACAGCCTGACTCGTTAAAGCAAGATGTTCTTCCCGTCCACATTCGATGGTTGCCATCTGTTCCCTTAGACGAGTTTTAGCACGTCTTTCTGTCTTAACGATGTAAAACTTTCCAGCATCTTTACAATTCAAATGGTAAACAGGCCAGCTTTAAAACAGGTCGTCTGTTGTAAAGCGCTCATTGTACAAGGTGTTGGACAGGGCGATGCGTTTTTTGCAGATGATATGGAATCCGACCGAACTAAGAAATTAACCGACGGGTGTAAACGGAGATGTAAAGGTAAAGATATTGCTGGTAAAGATATTAGGTGGAGGTTTGAGGAGAAAGAGGCGACCTGGAGAAAGCGTTGATTGTAACTATTTCTTTTTAAATACGCATAACATATTTTGGATTTCAGCTTTACATACCGATGGTCGGTTGCAACGACATTCCTCTGTTTACGTAAGTTAATTATGATCAGTGGGGAGGGGAATACAGGACTTAAAGGAAAAAGACACAATTATTCATGAAATCTTTCATCTTTATGATGGCCAAAAAAGAAATCGAGTTCTTCGACTGCGAACTGAATCCTCTTCTAATCGTCAATACTGTTTAGGAAATTAACAATGGGAGAAGAAAGTTGTTCTGTTTTAGGAAGTACAAAGATGTTCCTGAAGTAGAAATAATGTTTTATATCAGTAGAGCAGAGATGTGAACCGGAAACTCCAGCATGATACACTTTTTAAGCTTCACATAATAAGTATACAGTGATCTCTCATCTAACGCGGGGGCTAGATTTCAGAAACATCAGCGAGAAGTGAAAATCCGCGAAGTAGCGACCTTGTATTTACTTTATTTTTATATAATTTAAGAATTCTATCAAATAACAGACAGCTTACATGAATCTATGATGAAGAAGAAGGATAAAAACAAAAACAAATGAACGATGGTGGCCCGCCATCTCCTTACTCTTGGATGCAATAATGGCACGAGCATAAAGGAGTAGAAAAACAAAAACGGTGCTATTGGGTGTAGGCAAAAATGTTCTTAGGTACATGAAAGAAGAAACAAAAAAAGGAATAACCATACTAAACGTCTCTCATAAGAGTTTAATGAATACTGCTGTTTGGATCAGCTTATAATAACATTTTCTAACAGAATAACGAAAAGAAAAAATAAAATTAGAAAAGTAGATTAAAAGGTTA